GAGAATTCCTGAGGGAGCTGGGAAGGGGCTCAGGCTGGAGCAAAGGAGGCTCAGGGGGAATTTCTGGCTCTGCACAAGTCCCTGCCAGGGGGGATTTGGGATCTTATCCCAGGGAACAGCCTCAGGCTGGCCCAGGGGAGGCCCAGGGTGGAAATTGGGGAATATTTCCTCACTGGGGGGGCTGTAAAGCTCTGGCACAGTTTCCCAGGGCAGTCCCCATCCCTGGATGTGTTCACAAAACGCGTGGAGGTGGCAGCTGGGGACGTGGTTTGCTGGTGACCATGGTGGTGGATGGTTGAATTGAGGCCTTAAAGGCCTTTTCCAACCTTAACAATTCCAAGATTCTGAGTTTTCCTTCGTTTCAGGAGCACTCAGTGCAGAGCCTTTGCTGGATTTAGAGATGGACATTTTCAGGCTCCAGTCACCTCAGGCAACACCTGGATCTGATCCTCAGAGATTTCTTTTACCTATTGCTGATTTTTACCTCTTTGCTCTTTCCCTGTAGTGCAGTTGTAATATCAAGCACCTGCAAGATAAGAAAAATAGATTAATTATAATCCAAGACAGGTCCATAAAGCATATTGTAAACTGTGGCCTAGCCAACAAAGAACGGAATGGCAGGAAATAGCAAGGGCAAATACAGTATCAATAAATAAAATATCAAACTTCTTTCTCCTGCCTAAGTCCTTTTCTCTGCTTTGTTCAGAGCTAGCTGTACATTCCTGTTTGCCCTGTGATTAGTTATTTTAAATTGAGAATAAATTTCTTTTCCTCTGCAGCCTGATCTTTGTGATTGCTTTGTGATTTTCTCTCCTGATCTTTGTGATCACTTTGTGATTTTTCCCTCCTGATCTTTGTGATCACTTTGTGATTTTTCTCTCCTGATCTTTGTGATCGCTTTGTGATTTTTCTCTCCTGATCTTTGTGATCGCTTTGTGATTTTTCCCTCCTGATCTTTGTGGTTGTTGATGACACCAACAGCCTCAAGGGCTGTGAATTCAGAGCTGTAATTTGCCCATCCTTGTGCTCCTGTGGGAACAGAGGGAAAACTTTGGAAAAGTTTTTTTTCCTCTGGAAACCTGGGGGAACCAAAGCACGGCCATAACAAACACAGAGATTAAAACAAAAACATGATTTATAAAATTGTATTCCTGACTGATACCACGAGCTCTCAGGAGCTTTATCCCAAGGTGCAAATCTTTTAGGGCTTGGAAAATGCCCAGAACCAAAATTTCTCTGCACTGGCTCAAAGTGCTGCAGGTTTGACTTTTTTTTTTTTGCAGGCCTGGCACAGGGATGGGCCAGAGGGAAATTTGGATTTTCTGCAGGGCATCTCACCAGGCCCACTGCCATTTCATTCTGATTTTGGGTAGAATAAACAGACAAAGGATTCTATTTATTTATTAAAGCATTATATTTATTTATGTTATGCATCAAAGCTTTGCATAGGCAGGTTGAGCCTGGTCCCTGAGTTCTGCTCCAGCTGCAGAACCATCATTAAAACATGCAAAAAGGCATTTCCTTGCACCAGGAATGTCAAGATCCAGTTGTAATGAGTTCTTCACAGATTTTAAGGCCCAAAATGCTTGGAATCCCGGCACTGGCACAGCCATCAACATTCATTGGTGCTAAAAAAAAAACCAAGAAAATGAAGATGGTGTCAGCAGCAGTATTTATATCAGTATATATATCTCAGTATTTTCTTAACCTGTGTCTAGCTAGGAAAAAACACACAAATCTCACCCCAAATTATGTCCCTGTTCAGGGTTTCTGTCTGCCCTGTGCCAAACCCTTGTGGTGTTGGGGAAGAAATGTCTGCAGAGGGTTTGGGCTCAGAGGGGACAAGAGGCCCTGGGCTGTGACTTACGTTGGGTGGACACCAGCTGGTAGAGAGGGAGCCCCGTGCAGAGATTCTCAATTAGAGAGGGAGCCCCGTGCAGAGATTCTCAATGTACTTCCCATACAGGATCCAGTCCTTCAAACGCCCCAGCCAGGAGGAGCCACTCTGGAACTGGGCCCAGACGTTGTTTGGGGAGTACACATCCTTCATGGTCTGGGGAGAAATGTTCAACACCACCAGAAATGGAGCTTGAAGATTCACTTCACCCTTTGAAGGTTCCCAAATCTAAAACCACCTTCCTTTGCTTCACAAAAAAACCCCCAACATTTGCTAAAGAAGCTTCATGCTTTAAAGAAAAGAATAATTTCAATCTATTCAGTAACAAAATTCACGAGATGTTAAATATGCCTACACAGCGATTGTTCATTGCTGCCATGATAATTTATATTATTGGCAGCAAGTTCTGCTGGAAATGTGCTAATGGGGTGACACAAAATGGGCCAGTTCAGCTCCAGGCAACACTTCCAGTCTCCTTCTGAAACCTCAGCCTGAATGAGGAAGCCAAAATTTGGTCAAAGTAAATTGATCTCTACCTTCTGTTGTGAAAAAAAATAATAAATCTCAAGCAATGTCAAGGTGAAAATATCAGCAGGACAATGAGTAAAAGGAGAGTTTGCCTGAATTTATATTGTGATCACCTCAAAACAGCCCAATCACAGCAGTTCCAAGGACAGGGGGTTGTACAGCTCGAGCCACCTCAACAAACCCCCATAAAACTTCAGGGGGGCCACGATGGTTCCTTATCTTAAAAGATCAGATGTTCTTATCTAATTTCATGTTCTGCATGAAATTCCCTTCAAGCTGTGCCTTGCCAGAACAGCCCCACCAGTAGGACAGCACAAAGTCATCCCTGAGGGGCTGTAGGGCAGGGTGGAGGCTGCTCTCACCCCTCTGCTCCCCACACCTCACCTGTCTCTCAAAAGCCAAACGCCCGATCTCCCGCAGCTCTGGGATCAAGTCCTTCTTTATTTTCATGATAAAGCAGGCGTTTCGTGAGAATAGCCTGGTGGCAATATAGCCCTGAGATGGAAAGAATCGAGGTTGAATCGTTAGAAATGGCTCACAATGACATTTGTTGGTGTTCTTTACTCTTTGGGGCAAGCTGGGAGGAACAGCGAGCGGCTGCTGTGGAATGAATGCGTTGCCTTGGTTTGGGGAACAAAGTCCTGGTGCTGTCCCTGAGGCTGGAAGGGACATTTCTGACAGACTTGTGCTGCTCACCTCCAGCCCCACTGAGCTCAGGGACCTTCTTCTCACTTCCAGGAGCTGCCAGCACAGGTTTCACCACAATCTTTTAAAGAGGAAAGGAGGAGGAAAGGTGCTGGGAGTCCTCAGAGAAACAATGTTCTGGGACAGGATGTGGTGAGAACACACTAAAATAATTCCTGACCTTAAAAACTTCCTCAGGGGTTAACTGGAGGCAGATTCTTGGATTTACTCAC